GATGGTATAGTAGTGCCATTAATGTTTGAAATCACTTCAAAGTAAATTTTTACAGAATTATTTGCTGACTTGGAGACACTGTTCCTGCCCCTGTATGAACAGGGTTTTTCCGGAAAGTACTGGGACTGAGTCAATTTAAAAAAAATTACGCTCGACCCTCCAAAAAGGCCTAGTACGGAGGCAACTGATCAGCCGCTCGTTCCTTTGCTAGGAACGCCCGCTTCCGAATCCAGCCGGTGCGCGCACGCTCCGAAGTACAGTCTCGGCGGAAGATTAGTCCTACTACTTCCCGGACATACCCTGTACATATGCATGTCTTTATGAGCCTTCCAAAATCTATCCAATTAATTCCAACTCACATTTCAATTGTTAAAGAAACCAACCGCTATCGCTCTGCTTGTCGCCCGTTTACTGGCAAACAGTGACAGTTAAAACCCATATAAAATCGAATACAAATATGTAGCAAAGTGTAAATAATTCGAATTGATATTTTCCATTCGTTGCATTAAGGTGTCGCCATCTCTGCCGCACAATTCCATATTCTTTTATTACCAAAAACAAATAGTATGATAAAAGAGCGCCAGCGACAATCCGATTGGTGAGAGTACTTGCATTGGCACTAACAATCACAACGGAATTCCGTTTTTCGAAACTGACGTACAAAGCGAAGTCAGCGAATAAACGACACACACGCTCAAGAACCTGGCAGACAAAATTGCGAAGTTTTCATTTTTCATAAAAAAACTACTAGTTCATGTCCCGTCTCAACTAGTCCCATTAATCTAGGAGTCTGTTGTGGCAACTACCCACTTTCAATTAAGCTTTCACTAATTTAATAGAGTGTAGTTGCAGCAAAATTTGGAGTGGCTTAAAAAAATAAAATAATATTTTAGTATGTTTATTATCTGCTGCAGAAACTAGTAAGGCGACTGGTGCAGCTGAAACTGTTACTGGTCGCTTCGAGTTTTGATCAACAAGACATAAGTGTGGATAAGCATCAATATCATGAAACAAAACCATGATAAAATAAAGCGCACAAAAACGTCGAAGAGCGATATTGTAATGAATTAAAATAAAATCGAGTAATTAATTACAATTGCGTGGCGTAAGCGGTGACGTTGGCGGCATTGATGAATTTATGCGCAGAGAGATAAGTGAGGTGTGCGATGGTTGGTGGCAGCTCGATGGACAACTTCGATAAACGTTTGGGCAGTTTTAATATCATTTTTATCATGCGCGCCATCATCTGTATGTATTAATGTATCAGTATTTTTACGGAAATTGATATACATATGTATGAAGCTATGTATATACATTCATGGGCTTCTGTTTACTTTTTTACATATGTAAATATATTTTTTCTATAATACGTTTAAACAACATTTAATTAACACAATTTTCCATTAATGCGAATTAATTACACATGAGCTAATTTTTGTAAATTTATTCGAATAAACAATTATGCCGATATCAGCATTTAATACCCAACATGCAATCAATTCGTTGATAATTGTACAAATGCCAACCAATGCATGATTGATGGCCAATGTACTTATGGGTAGATGGATGAGTAAATGTAGGGAACGTGCATCCCACATGTACATATGTAGGTGAAGCTGGTGCATAGGTAAATAGTTTGATTTTGGGGTATTGTATGCCTACTGAATTTTTCATGCAGCAACCATTTCTGAACCAAGGGTGATAAGATGAATATGTCGAAAATGCAATGCCAAACCAGTCATTGGTCAAATTAAATATACTCGTATATATGTATGTACATATGTACAGGTTTATCAGCGCTTGCATTTGTTTGCATATATTTTCTTGCTTGGGTTTGAATAACTTTATAATTAGCTTGCCATTTTAATTTTTTGGAAAAAATATAAAATTAATTAAATAACAATCAGCAGTTTTTGTACGAGTTTACAAAAAATGATTTAATAAAAAAAAAATAATCATATTACCATAATGTGCCTGTGCACATGTATTATGAGATAATAAATATTGCATATATTTACTTACAAGATTGAATCAATTTGGAAAAATTATGGGAATAAAAGTAATTTATTGCAAAATTTGCTGGCAGCACTAGTACTCAAAGGTTATTATTACCGACAATATAAATTTGTATAATCGTACGAAAATATATGCACATAAACATTGGTATTCAAGTATTTTATTCATTTTTTATTGATTTATATATGTATGTACCAACTATACATATATGCTTATATATATAATATTTATCAAATTTCTTTTTATTTAAGCAACCAGGCAAAACGTTAAAAAATTAACAGAGTTGTTTGTATTAGAGACCAAATTTAACTACCCGTTAAACACATTTCATGGCGACTCAACTGTCTTTGTGCTCACTCTTCATACAACTCCTCCCTCACCCAAACATTTAGTGTCACTTTAGTATCCTTTCCGCCGCTCATTTATTATTAAAAATCAACGCCCTCACAATGAATAAACGCAATCAGCATTTCTCTTAAATGCAATTAAAATTTTCACCCCTTCGCCATCAACACCCCACCCACAATGGCGGACTGCCGCTTGACGCCTGTCTGCTACTGCTCCACATACTCTTCTTTACATTTCATTAAAATAATTGTACATAATTTGCTGCTATCATAGTGAGTCCAAAGCAAAAACAAAAATTTTACGAAACTCATAAAAAGAGGAAGAAGAATTTAAAAGGAAAAACCTTTCAACACTCAACTTCGCAATAGTATTGTCGGTTCATTTGTATTTCTCTCTGTTGTGTAAGAATGAATATGCGAGAGAATATGCACTGCCCCACCTCTATCTTTTTTGCGTTGGCTTATTAAAATTTAACCACCAAATTAGCAAATTAACTGGCACTTGGGTGAATGCACACACCCGCCAACAAGCAAAGCTAAAGTGGTCGGATTTTTCTTCTATTTTTGCAAAAGCATTGAGCGTACGGAAATGAGTCGAAAGTGAGAGTCAGTTTGAGAGATCAGTGCTGGTTGGTTGTAAAGTAACAATGATTGTTTACTCCTTCTATGTTTTGGCAAATTGAAAAATGCGTGCGTTGGGTGTATTAAGAATTTAATATTTCAGATTAGAGGGGATAGGACAGCGCTAAATAATTTTAATTCGTTCTTGTCAATGATTCAGATTTTGTTTGTGACAACATATGGTTTCATACTTGATTTCATAAAGTATTTGCGATTTGAATTAGGAAAACAGGCGACTAAAAGATTTTTAATATTAAAAAAATATATTCGAGTACATAAATATTTCAACATATTGTTAAATGTTTGATTAAAATAGGATATAGAAATTTTTTATTAAAACAAGAAATAATGTCTTCTTCGTAACTTCAGTTGCACCGAAGCTATTATACCCTTCATAAATAAGATTCAGTACAGGAACTGGAACTTGGGTCGTTCTGTTTGTGTGGCTAGTAAATTTTATAGTGATTCCAAATGATATTTATTTTTTTAAATAGTACTGTTGCCTTAAACATTAATCCGTTAAAAAAGAAGTTCCATTCAAATAGAAAATTCCATTCAATCACTTGATTCCGATCGTTCAGGAATGCCATAGTGTTATTTCTGATCCATATTTCTAAAAATGAGGGGCTAGTTCGCGTATGTACAGATAGACGTACGAACTGATCACTTATTTACGTATATGTATGTATATTTTATAAGAATTCCGACTTTTCCTTGACACTGTTACAAACTTTGTGACGAACTTTATCTACTCTGTCCGTTTCTATCAAGTTTGTTGCATCTAAATAACTTTATCTTTTTATTTTTTTTTTTATTTTATTGTTAAGTCGAAATGCAATCCCATTCAATTTCTTAAATGTTCATAAACCATAAAGTCCCTAAGGGGCAGTCATTATTTACTAAAGTCTCCTTGATACCCATTGAAGAGAAATTGTCGGCAAGAGTACATACGAGTACGAATATTTATGTTTCTTTGTTATAGTTAATTGAAAGAAAAATATTTCAATTAGTTATGTTTGTTTAGCATTAAGAAATAACTACAATGGGAACAATAAAATCTCTTGAAAAAAATAATTAACAGCGTCAATGTGTGCGATTTTAGTGTAGCAATTCGAAGTGGCATTTTACTAATTAAATTGTATACGGATTGGATTACTGAAAAGCAATAGTTTGAATCCGTCTTGCAGCGAGTCTAACATATTAGGGACTTCTAATTCAAAAAAAAAAAAAAAAATCGGAAGAAGTATAATAGTAAAACTTTCACGTAGTGAAATGCGTCACGGTCATATTTGTTCTCATGAACAATGTCCTTACGTATATCAATTTATATGCAAAAGACTTCATGTCTACTTCCTTTGATTTTTGATGCCTTTGCATAACTGCTTTTGCAAACTCAGGTTGGTTTTGCAGAGCATCTGTTTGTTGCCCTTAACATATTACTGCTAATGAGGAGAATAAAGGTAGTGGGCATGCAATTAATTAACTTAAATTTTTGAATATCTTCGCTTGTTTGCGCTGTTCACATAAGTTTCTTTTCTTTTCATTTCGCATTAAATGTGGCTCTACGAGTTGTTCCATTATTTATTTATATTTTCTTTGATTTATTTTTATTATATGTATATATAAATGTAATAGGGAAAAACTTATTCAGTTGTATATTTCATACTTCTTACAAAATTTTTTAAACATAAATGTATACTATATATTAATTATTATTTACTTTTAAAGTCCATAATTGCTTACAAGTCACATCATAGTTTTCAGTTTAATTTTTTTTTTGGAGTTGACAACAAAATAATTAGGCAAACCACGAAATTCAGGTTTAACACGATTGATTGATGTCACTATATTTTGTTATTCTTACTATAAAGAAAAGTATTGCGGAGTCGCTAATACAACCCAACCGAAATATAGTCTTAAAATATATTAGCTTCTCTTATTTCGAACTCACATTGACTTTTTTGTATTTACAAGCTTCGTTATGATTTCTAATAACTGTTTTTTCTCTTTATGCAGATAAATTGGCTACATGCTTCGTTTGCAAGGCAGAGGCTTGTCCTCGTACACGTCCTCTTAAAAAGGGTCGCGGGCAACAGTATGGCATTCCAGATGACACAATACCAGTGGGAGCGCGAGTCTGTAACTCGTGTCAATGTAAATCGGTACGTAATCGTTATACGAATTGCCCCATTCCGACGTGTCCGAATCCGAAAGATCGCGCTAAACGTCTACACAACATTCCGGCACGTTTGTTCGATCTGGCGTCTGATATAAGAGATCCCATCTTTCAAGAGTTCCAAATACCACCGCAAGCAACACGTTGTTGTTCGGCTTGTCTAATGCGTATACGGCGTAAATTGGATCTTGATCCGCAAATAAACCTTACAGACGAAGATCGTCGAATGGATGGTGATGAATCTGATGTAAGTACTTCGTCGTGCGATGAACGGGAAGTTGGTGGAAGTGATACTGCTTCTGTGGAGAGTCCAGAATCACAACGACATAACTCGATGACGAAGGATGTACAAAAGCCACAGACGCCGATTGCAGCTAGTGTTTCCTCTAATGCGGCGGATACTACAACGGTAACTATAACATCTGCTGGGATTAAAGCTGATGAACGTTTGCTACCACCACTGGGACAAGCGCCAAAAAAGCAGAAGACATCCGAGGAGTATGATTCGTCAGCCACTGAGACTGCAGACGAGGAAAACGAGAATTCGCCAGCGAACCGTCAAAGTCCCAAAGTAATATTAAATAGCAGTGGGTTGGGACAAGGTCAAGGCAACGTTGGACTCGCACCGCCAATAGCAAATGCCCAACAAATACACGCTGTTCAACTGAACGGACCACCACAGCCGGTTATGGGAATGCCTCCACGAGAACAAACTGGTGCGAATGTGCAAGATGTTTTATATTCAGTAATCGAGCTGTCGCTTAAAACTAAAGGCCCGCCACCAGTGAAAATGCCTTCACAAATCCCAAATGCGGCGCCTATGCATAGCGTGAAACCGATCATGGAACCCATACGCAGTCGGGGAGATCTCAGTAATAATAATAATAACAATTCTAATAATGATGTTACAATAGTTGGCGAGTTCCGTAATGAAGGAGCTATAGTAAAGCAGCAAGCTCATGGGCAACCAATAGGTCTGAATGCACGTCAATCAAATGCATCGACTTCAAACGCTGGACAGGGTCCACCGGGTAGCCAAGGCCCTCCTGGTGGCATTATGCACCCCGAAAATTTAGCAACAATATCTGTTGTAAACTCTCATTTGTCTCACCAACATCTTCCACCACATGGTATGTTACATCAACATGAAATCAAGGCCACTATAACACCGGTAGTGAAATCTGGAAAGACACTATCCTCAACACAACAGCAGCCATCAGATGCAATTCGATATGCAATGTCCAGTGTTGGTTCTCAACAACTTCGGAACAACGAACCAGAACCTCAGACTCTTGACCTCTCAATAAAGAAACCTGCTCGAGATGGTCCATCACCCCATACATTGAACAGCGGTACAAGTTCTTTGAGCACTGATAATGGACCCCGCCATCAACCACCACCAGGTGCTGTAAAGCATGTCGGCAACGCTGCATCCATATATCGTGGCCCAGATCTAGGCCCTTCAAATCCAACGTATTTATATCATCCACATCCGGCAACAGTGGGTAAGGGACCACATGGTTCCGTCTACATGTCTCAAGTACCTGGTCCCATAACACAAGGTGTCGTGAGCGCACGATCTCAAGCGGGCGGCGGACAACCGCCACCGCAACAGCCGCCTCTGTCCACGCACCAGACCCACATGCAGTTACCATCGGGAGTAGGAGGTAATAGTAGCAAAGTGGGTGGTAAAATGGCGCCCAAATTAAGTCCCCAGCTGATACATGGTCCATCTTCCCATACAACAACAGCATCACCATCACAACAACAGCAACAACAACAAATAATGGTTGGTCCGAAAGGTTCCATTACACATGGTACGCCAGTTAATAATGCCCAACAAATTATAGTACATCCTTCGCCTGCGACGCTGAGCCCTAAGTTTGAGAGTATATTGAGACAGACTCCTCCTTCCGGTGTCGATGCAAACAATAAAATTGGCTCCATAACCCAGGGCACACCTATTCACTTGCCTTCACATCACATGGAGAGCAAACGTTCATACGAATATTATAAAACTTCGCAGCGTCAAAGTCCAGCACAACAACAGCAAATTCCAGTGGTTGGCCATCCCGGTGTGTTGCCACCTCCGCAACAGTCATCGCCACAAGCACCACAGCCGCAGGGCTATGGTGGCAGCTCGCCTTATGCGCGTTCACCATATTCCGTTGACCAGTCGTCAGTACTGAGCACTCGTCAGATAGTGTTGCATGACTATATAACGTCACAGCAAATGCAGGGTCAACAGCGAAACGTATCACGTGGCAGCAGTAACAGTGCCGGTGGAGGAGGCGGTGGTTCGGACAAAGAGTCTCCATCGCCTCGTAATAGTGTTAGTGGTCCAGCCAGCGCACTGGTATTCTACGACAAGGACCGTGGAAGAACTGAGTACTCAAGTCGTGCCTCACCCGCTGAACATGTGAACAGGTGAGAAATAGTATAAAATTTTATCAAGCTTTTATTAAGTTGAATCGACAAATTTGAATTTACCTGGAATTTATCTACGTTTTTAACTTACAGCACTCCCAGCCCTCATCGCACACCGCCTCCCCCACGACAAGGTGTCATACAACGCCATAATACTGGTTCAAAGCCACCCTCACCTGCAACAATGCCTCAAGGCCGTTTACATGTGATGCCACATAACTATCCGCCAGGTCAGTACTTTATTAAGACGGTTCCGCTTCCCTTTGAAACATTTATTTAATATTTTTCATTGTCGTCTTTTAGCTGGTCATGATGCATTTTCCTCGTTTGTGGATGTTGCCGTACAACAGCCACAATTACCAGTGCCATCACAACAGAAGGAGGAGAAACAACTTCGACATGAAGCGCCACAGCCACCACCTCATCAACAACATTCGTCTCCGAACCAACCGCCTCCCACTCAACAGGATATACGGTACCAAATGATGCAGTTGAGCTATCATCAACAGCAACGCGCAGCGGCTCAACAGCATCACCAATATCGCCAACAACAGGCTGCGGCGAGCGTTGCTGCTAATGCTGATCTCCAGCGTAGGATACATGCTATCGAGCGGGATCGTGATTTACAGCAGAAACGTGACCGAGAGCGTGAAAAAGAACGTGAACAGAGAGAACGTGAGAGGGAACGCGACCGTGATCGTGAACGAGAACGGGAACGCATGGCGGAATGCATTGCTGCAAACGAGCGCGATGCAGCGGGTCGACGCATGACAGAGCGCATGAGTGCAGCGGCTCAGCATTATATGCGAGGGGGCCCCGAAACTGGACCACCGCGTGCTATACCCGATCGCGAAAGAGATATGTAAGTGAATGCAATAAGCCTCAAACGGAAACTATAAAGCATAATATAATAACAGTACATAGTACATTAAACATCACTAACTCAAGGAGGATGAAGCAATAAGTATCCACTAGGTATTTGAACATAGACACAGTTCAATAAAAGCTATAAAGCTACAAACTACTACTCAAATGTAATGTACTCGAAGCAAAACTGGTGATTTCAGTACCTTTAAATAATCGGCAAATAAATGGATTATGCTAAGGGTCAACAAATTAATATTGAAATTAAAAGTTAAGAATTGTGTCAGTTAAAATGATTTTTTTTTTGACAGTGCATCTTTTATACATATTTGGGTGGTTTTAGTTCATTGACTCGACTGATTTAGGAAATTTATATTTGACGTCTGAAATTCAATGATAGATGAATAGGTTTTGAGGGGTCACAATATTTCAAACAATTTCATTTTATTGCATCCATGTAATGTCTTATGTCATTCCCACATGTGTTTGCATAACTTATCCATATATAATGCATTCGAAGGATTTGTTTTGGATTTATTACGGATTTATGTTAATTTAGCTGCCTATTATTAATACATACATAAATATTTCGCATCAACAACCTCCGGCTCATATTTTCATGATTCTTTCTCTTTCTCTTTCAATATTTGTGAATATGTACCATCACCAACATGTTTCGCCCATTCATCAACTGCTAACCATCAAACCATCGTTCATTCACTGTTGACCGCATGACTGTCTCGACCATACGTTGGCATCTTCATCTGTGTGTTTGTGTACGTGTTTGTAATCTTACTAACGCGCAGATATCATAGGACACCACAGGACAGTACATTGTCAGCACAGGTCTTAATCGATGCAATCATAAAGCAATCGATCATACAGGGCAGCTCGGAACCGAATCCAGCCAATATGAACCGACCATCATATGTGAGTACTTTATTATCTATAAATTGAAAAAGTGTTAGAATGATTTCAATGCAAATATTTATTTGACAGTATAATTCGCGTGAATTGCCCCCCTCAGTACGGCAACATCCTGGTGCTACCTCACTGGCCGCAGCCGAGAATAATGGCAAAGCGAACTCGCCGAGTGTCATCAACATTGACTTGGACAGCGATCGTGCCAGCAGTAGTAGTAATCAACATGAATCGCCAAGTGTTAGTGTAGTGAATTCGCGTGGTAGTAATGTTTCTCATATAAACCGAGGCGGTCTTCAGAGTGGTGGCCCACCTGGTAGTTTATCTACTCAACCAGGTGTTTCATTATTGCCCCCAACATCCCAAGCACAGGTCCAGGCACAAAAGCAGCCGCAAATACTGAAGACAAATATCACATTCGGCGAGTTGGCGGATTCTATTATAGCGAATGATTATTGTCCGAACCCGATGCAGTTAAGACCACATGTTAACTATATGCCCTATCTTCAGGAACAGCAACCGATGGTTATGACTGAACATTGGACAAAATATAATAGACGATTGCAACAGAAAGAAGTAGAAGCGGCCGCTGTGGCCGCGGTTACCGAACGAAATAAGGCAGCTAACACACAAAACAACAGTAGTGGAGTCACGGTCAGCACCAGTGGTGCCTCTGGCCTTCAAGGTAATAGTGGCATGTCGGCGACCGGTAGTGGCCGTTCCAATACACCAGCTGATGAGCGCAACATTATCCGAATGCAGCAAACTGTGAGTCCACGGAAATATGATCTGATGATGCAGCCACCACATGATCAGAATGCAGCTGCAGTTGCTGCTAGTCATTATTACCATTCGCATGGTCCAACCCCACCGTCTAGCGTAGCACCACCTATGAGTATGCATGCACGTAGCAGTAGCGCGGGTAGTGGTGGTTCGTCGTCGATACCATCACCTCATGATCAACGTATGACAGGGGGCAATAGTGGTAGTGGAAGTGGTGTTGGTATTATCCCATCTAGCGGTTCAGTGACACAAAACCATCCATTCGATACAATGAAGTATGTAAAAAAACGCATTGTGGAAGTAATGCGCACCGAGGATGAAGAAATGCAGCATCAGCATGCGCACAACGATCATCGCGGAGGCAAGGACCTGCACGATGGCCCAGTTAGTAACACAATGCGCAAAACACCCAATCAGTACGATGATGGGCGCGATAATAGACGAGTGTCGACAGTATCCTCCAGTGGTAGTAGTGCTGGCAGTGGTAACATCAATAACGATACACATCACAGCATAGTATCTTCACAGCCGCCACCATTAGGTGCGTATCAGCCTCAACCGCCGGTCACAACATTTGCCCCAACCACGTACGCATATCCGTACAGCGCGCTTAATGTTCCGAGTTCAGTAGCAGCTTTAGCACCTCCTTCACAAATGACAACATCGCAACTATCATCGTTGGGACATCAGGTACCAACATCACACATTGGCAAACAAACATCCAGTCATTCAATAGGTATCACTGGCAGTGGAGGTGTTGCCATGACAGTGTCTAGCGGCGCCGCAGCATCAGGTGGTGCGCCAGTAGTTGAGCCGAAGCCGCTGTTGTCGGCGCAATATGAAGCACTCAGCGACGAAGATTAGTTGTGACTGCAGGCGTCTGGACGAACGCCACAACAACAACCGATACAGAAACATCAGCAGCAGCAACAACAGCAACCACCTGCTCCACAAATTTGGCATTGTGAACACGAACGCATACGGCAGCAGCAACAACACTTGCAACAACATTACCAGTTGCAAAATAACCGCAATTACAACAAGAGCAATTGCAATAATGGTAACAGCAACAACAACCACTATTACTAAATGAAAACCCTACTGAGTGAGAGTGTGCAAGAGATATATTGTGAGAAAAAGTAACTATAGGTATGCAGCAAAGACTCTGCCGTCTGCCCAGGTCCACGCTACATTGTCATCCAACTTTAATTTGCGTTAAAAACTAAGCGCCGTAACTGATGTATTACCAGTTGTCTTGGCATAATTCAAACATAAAAATAGTCCAGTAATCGCCTGCAGGAAAAATCTGAAATTATAGAATTAAATAGCCTTTACCAGTATATTTTAATTGTATACAGACGGTACAGTACGGTTAATGGACAAGAGTTATTGTAAACGTTTAGCAGTTTTAGGCAGTTGTAACTTCAAAGTATAAAACTAAAATAGAAAGCAAATATTTTTGTTTTAAAATTTCTTAAACCGTTCCAACATAAAAATAATAGCAAAGTTTCAAAGAATACTTTTGCACAAGCACCAAATTTTCAAGAACTCACAAACTTTGTATTATAAAAATAATTTGTATACCGTAGCATTCCCATATACACCCATGAACATAAGCCTGGAATTTTAACAAAACAATGCAAATTCACTAAATAATATATATGTAAATATATAAATGTGAAAATTAAACTAAACACGTAAGAACTGTATAAATTTATGGATTAAAAAGGAGCTGGTTAAATGAACACGAAAATTCAGTACAATTCTTTACAGTCATGGAATGACCCAACTTGAAGATATTTATTTAATTGGATTTTTTCTTTTTTATTTATTTTATGTGAGTAGCGAATTGTAATCCATTTTATTTTTTCTTGAAAGCGCAAATGTCATTATAGATAGAACATAAATTAAAAAACAACATCGAAGTTAATTCACAGTACACATAAGTTCGCTGTTACCAAAAATCACGTTTTACTTCGGTTAATTTATTAGATATTTTGTTACGTATGGATAATATTAATCGTTTACAAAATATTTTTTAGTGTACTTCTGTAACCAGCTCTTATAAATTTGGAATCCTGTGAAAATGCTTAACGTTAGAAAGCACGGCAAATTGAAATGCAATAATACAATCAACGCTCTAAACTCACCACATACAAATCATCAAAATACAAATCAGTTTTGATGGTAACGATGTTTAAAAACAAGGCATTATTTTTTAGCACTCTTTAACTTTTTATGTTGACGTTTTTTTGCTTATTTTCGAAAAAAAATATTGTGATCTGGCATAGAATAAAGAGGGCGAATTACAATTTTTAAGACTCATTAGATAAAAGTGAAGAATCAATCATTAAATAGCTTTAGCTCAAAATTAATGTGCATTTTGTTTATAAATATGTTCAGTTAAGACTAATTTATGCTATTTTCGACATAACATTGACAGTATGTGAGATGAAAAAACTATATATAAAAACGCTAAGACTTATGCAACAAAACAAACAAATAGAGTAAAGAAATATAAAAATAAAATGCAAAAACTGCTGATTAAATAAAAAGAACGAGTTACAGTTATAAGCCTGAGTTAAGAATAAAGTATAACTAACTTATTTAAACGAGAACAAATGGTTTTGAGTAAAAGCACGCTGCTGTGGTTGCGCGGAAAAAAGTTAAAAATGTATACATATATATATATAGTATATAAACCATTTAAGCTTTTCTATTCTACAATATATTTAAATAAAAGAAAAATTATACAAATGTAAATCTAATTTAAATTATGTAAACATGAAAGTGAAGATATATATTTGTATATATAAATTTATAAAAAAAAAATAACAATGAGAGACGACGAAACGCTTAAGTTTTTGCTATTCATACAAAACAAAAAAAGAGAATACAATAAATAATTATATTTAAAATTTACTTATACTACTTAGTTAAAAAAAATATAATGAGTGTTGCATAAAGCATGATTGTAAAGAATTCAAAAATTTGAAATAAAGTTGGAAATTGACCACGTGGAGTGAAGAATTTATGAATCAAATTAGTAGTCAGAATAGAGTGCGAGGGAGAAAAAAGCTGTGAAAGTTGAAATTTTTGACTCATATATTTAGTTTACGGCTTGTTGGCTTGGAGGAGCAAACAAAGCTGAAGTGAAATGAGAAAAATAGTTGGAGGAGGAAGGAAATTGTGAATATAAATATGTGTGTTATCTTGAAATTCAGAAAAATGAGTTTCCAGCAGGACTGCATAAAATATAGCCAATCACTTTAGGGTATGGCAAAAAATGGAAAAAAAAGTTTGAGGAATATTACAATAATAAAATGAAAATAAAAAAGTTTTGTGACTAAATTATATTTAGTTTGTAATTACGCCTTAAGTTGTAAGCTTACGGAAATATGCTGAATATAATACAAGTAAAGCAGCGTGTAAAAGAAAATAAAAAATAACAAAGAAATGTGAATGATGAAAATATACATTAAATTCAAAATTGGTAAGAGTATAAATAATAATTATAAAATGATGTATCGTTATTATAAACACAGTAAAGTAAAGGTATATAAATATTATTAACAAAAAAAAATAAACCATAAATAAATTGTGTAACAAAAATCATATGGGTAAAATATAACTAAAAAATAATGAACACAATTAATAAAACTTACAAATATATAAAAAAGAATATTTACAAAGATTAAGAAATACACATCCTTCTTACACAAAAATCACAAATTTCTAAAAAGGCAAAACAAAATTAGCCACTAGTTATTTAGTTTATAAACAAAAACACTATAAAAATTATAACTGGCGTAAAATGTTAGCATTATAAATACACATTCATCAATATACCCCAGGCCCGCCCATACCACATCTCATGTAATGATTAAAACAAATCTGTAAAAAATCTATTATCGAAAATAGTGTGAACTGAAAATTTTGGAAAATGTTAAGTTTTTACCCTAATATAATTACTATAGCATACTATAATTAGTTTTTCTTAATATTATTTCTCTTACTTTGATGCAATTAGCAAAAATTCGAGGTAGCGGTGGCTTATTAAAGAAAAATTGGTTAATTTAAAAATATGTAAAATGAAAAGAAATTTCAGTTTTTTTCATTTGCTAAATCAATATACCTACATCTTTGCAGGCAGTGAGCAAAATGCCAAATTGTCACTGATTATTTACATATTTATTGCTGCCAAAGGGGATTGTAAACCATAATATAGAGCCATATGTTTAGGTGAGCACTAAAAGGATTATTTTTATTTCTTTTTTAATCTATTGCTTGTTCATAAAAGTGAATTATAAATTATCTACGGCATTTCTTACAGCAAATTTTGCGATCGTGTTTTAAATTATTCATTGTTCAATTTATATCCGTTAATTCAAAGTTATCAAGGCATGGAAAATAATTTAAAAACATTTCAAAATGCTTTGCATGATAATGAACAAAGACATGCAATTGGGAAAACCCGGTTTACTTTTGTCTTTTTACAAAATAATTTAATTATTTTTTATTTGTGTATCTAAGGTTTAACATTATATATAAAGTACATATGTATAAATATGACATGTGTGTATATGTGTAGGTATATGGAAGAATGTTAGTATTTAATTGCAACAGAAAACTTGCGTTGAGTTTTGTTTTCTTTATTTTTTTTT